AATAAGAACAGGAGCAGTTTTGGATCCACATGATGATTTTGAAATTAGAACACTTAAATTTGGATTCTGAAATATGGTATGAACGTATAAGATTTGGATCCTCGCTAGAGTACACGTCGAGGGGGAAATAACTAGACACTTTTGTGTACACCTCTATTTCTATTTCAAGACTATTTCAACTATTTCAACCATTTCACTGCTATTTCAGCTATTTCACTGCTATTTCAGCTATTTCAATGCTATTTCAGCTATTTCACTGCTATTTCAGCTATTTCAATGCTATTTCAGCTATTTCAATGCTATTTCAGCTATTTCAATGCTATTTCAGCTATTTCACTGCTATTTCAATGCTATTTCAGCTATTTCAATGCTATTTCAATGCTATTCCAATGCTATTTCAGCTATTTCAATGCTATTTCAATGCTATTCCAATGCTATTTCAGCTATTTCAATGCTATTTCAACGCTATGTAAACTATTTTCACCTCTCTGAGACCATATCAACTACTTCACTTCAACTACAGTGGAGCGGTAGTTCATTGTACCGATCGTTTTATTAAAAACGCAGTAGCTTGCGGGTTAGCCTACTCTGCCCGTAAGGCGCCATAGCCCCTAGAGTAGGCAAACCCACCCGCACCTGCGTCTTTGATCTGGTACGTAATCAGTGTGCGCTGGGCGCTGGGGACATAATCTGCACATAATCCACGTGGATCCGCGCATAATCCACGTGATCCGTACATAATTCACATAATCTGCGTGATTCGCACCTAATCTACGTGATCCGATAATGCCCATAATCTGCGCATAATTCACGTAATCCGGTGTTATCCTCGTGATCCCGACGTAATGCACGCGATCCTTGAACGACGTACAGGAACTGGGTAGGGGGAGGGGGGGTGGAGGGGGTCACGAGCTTGGTCGCGAATTCTCTCCCGGCTGCCCAGCGCCAGCGAGCCTGAGTCATGTGTGGCGGCGTGTCGGGTTATTCAAAACAATCTCGCCGTCCTCTTCCCCCCCTCCTCTCCCCCCGCTCTCCTCCCCTGCTGCTGTGCCCTTTACCGGCGCTACGCTGCTATCGCCTTTTTGCTGCAGCGGTAGCGGGGCTGCGCTCTGAGTCGTTCTGAGCGACACGGCTCCGTATCTGTTGTTTCGAATGTTTGCGATGCTGTAGAAAGAGACGGGATATGCAGAGCAAGTGCGAAATGTGTCTACGCGTCCGCGTGGCGTCTGGAAGCTTTGCGGACCGTCCGGTTTATGCCCTTCCGCTTAGTCAAACGTGTCATTCGAAACGTGATTGGCT